GTGTGAGTGGAACCACAAGCGGTGCAGCGCAAGCCACTTGTGGTGATGATTAAGCGCAGGCGTCCTCTGACTTCGGTCATCGTGACAGGCTAATCTGAATCGGATGCTACCAACCAACCAACATACAAATTGTGCGTGATAGCGGGTGTCCCAAGTGACCAAAAGAAAAAGCGTACCACGGTGTAGTTGATAAACACACATTTGCTGGCATTCAACTTCCGCCGTTTGTAAATATGACTAACAATTACTGTGTACACATGACATGTGCTGCAGTAGATTGATGAAGAAATTCCAAAACCATGGAACCGTCTTTGCTAAATTGAAATTTCTATTCTTTCACCATAGATGTTTACTGTTGATCATACTTCTTTGTTCGTGATAAACACATACATGAGAGCTGGCGAGAGAATAGAATCGCCCTTGGTTTGTCATCATCTTGATAAAGGAAACACCGAAGCCTCCCCGGATGATATGGCTGCAAAACGGACCGGTATCAGTAAATGCTTGATCACGTTGGACACCACAGTAAAACAGTCTTTATGCGCTACTATACTTATGACAATATGCAAGAGACACTCTACCTGTGTCCGGCAAAATCTCGTTTCCACTGAATGCTCGACCAAAAGACAGTCTATCAGCAGTCTCAAGCTGTGCCCCCTCGTCCGATTAGAACAGGAACATATGCTTTAACACTGTAATGCAAATTTCAGGTGAGTGTTTGTGTGAGGATTGAATGTTTTGGATAGTTAACCAAAACCTACAAGTACCTTAAAGTGGAATGAATGACTAAAATCACTAGGGTTACTAAACCTCACGAGTCCTGTTCATTGTTTTAAAGAGTGTGGCTAACACTCATAGTAATAATACCAGTAGGTTCAAAGACTGGATGGCTGGTCGTTCGGTCCTTAATCATTTGTTCTAATGAACCATTCCGAAAAGCACAGGAAAAAGGATTTTGATACAGAACTTGCAATTTTGAAACATTCTCAAAATGATTCGTTTACACACAACAGGGTATGAAGTTTTTTCAACACAGTTTGATCCAAACGAAATTAGTGTTTCACCACAGAAATTGTGTAGAAGTAGAAACTAACCTCGCCATAATTTTCGATGATATCTGCATGAACCTTCTTTCCTTGAGTTCCTGTAATCCCAAATCCGTCACGATCCGCACCAAAACCGTAACCAAACGGATCTAAGCCCAAATCTAAATTGGCTCCATCTAGCGACCATCCGATCCGTGCCAGACCGGAATCTTCCATTACCTTGACCTCGTAGTAATATTTGCCGGAACCAAAAATACCCTTCAGATGAGGTTAGAAAACAACACTGTTGTTTACTATGTGTTGAAAAAAATCAATATACAGGGAGAACTGTTGATTAATCGAAACATTCTCCGTAAATTGATGGTAGTTAAGATGTGGGTACTAAGTGAAACGGTGCGAGATATGGAACTCAGACGGTCTGAGACCACGCAATAAATCTCGAAACTTTTATTTCTGTCTGGGCATTGAACAAGTGATTAGTTAACTAATACATCCCGGATGAAATCGGAAGACAGGATCGTTGAAAATGCGAAACAGTATCGCTATTCAGGTCAACAAAGTGGTCAAACAGAATTTCATTACATACCTACAAGTGATCTCAGCAAGCCAAACAGGGAACCAAAAGTACAACAAAATGTCGATCATTTGAGAGGGCAGTGAAACGATGAGAAACGACTCCTTGTGGATGAACAGAATGCCCTTATGGTGAATGACTGCGAACTTTTCGACATGAGAGGGTGAACATCATTCCGTTTGGTGTGGCATATGTCATGTTGGGGTGATTGTATACCAACGAAAAAGGAAGTAGACAACACGTAACTGAATGATTATTTTATGATTTTACATTTTTGTTTTAATTGTTTAAGCACAGCAGTCGGCTATGCACATTAGTAAAGACTAATCAAAAAGTGCCAACGTGTAGCACAGTTGGCCCCTTTCGAAAAGAATCATTAGACTCGAGTTTCGATCTTAATAGAGCTCATAATCAGTTTAATTCCTTCTTGTACTCATTTGATGTGAATAATCTGGAAAGGTCCGAATCGAACATTTTCGTTCTATGGGTCGAGATACTCAACTGCTAAAATAGAGCAAACAATAGAAAACATTTGGATCACTTACATTTCTAGTCCTAACAACAATTAAGAGTGTAAACTGATCATCACGTAGAAAGCGACGAATGAACCGATCAGATATAAACAAGCAGTACGAACAGGTTTACTGCTTTCATTTAACAAAAGATTTTTCTGGAAAGACGTTTCCTTCATATTGTTCAGTACCCGCTTTTTCCATGAGTTTATGAAATCATGCAAAACAATGCAGAGGCTT